TGATTTGATGTGCCTCTGGCAAGTGTGGTTTTTTCATGTTAAAATTGATAAGAATTGGGTCATAAGAGAGCAATTTAAATGCATATTTGCTATTTATATTGATTCTTTCTATATCAATAATATTTACCTTTTGATTGTGTTTTTACAGGAAAAAGAGGAGTGAAAATTACAAATTACAAAAAGCCTGTTGACGCGACTCCACACATAGGAAATTTCACCGGGTGCTGCGCAGACCAAATACCAGAGAATTGGCGCTAGTTGGCGCCAGATTGGCGCAAACTAGCACCACACATATTAAGCACCAACATTATTGCGCCACTGGGCGCCCAAAAGTAAGTAAATGGCGCCAAGTGGCACCCAAAGACAAGAAAACTGGCGCCAATTGGCGCCCAACAACAAGGAGGTGGCGCCGGTCCACGCAATCGGTTCCGACTTTTCGTATTCAAGGCAGCAAGTTGGCGCAAACGTGCGCCAAACCGGCGCCAACTGGCGCCGGGTTGCGAGAAAATAACACCGTCTTTCCGCGGGGGTTATTTTTGGAAGAAGAAAAAAATAAGTTTATAAATAGGATCCTTTTGCTAGACCTAGATTTTCTCATTCCAGTCAGAGGAGGTCGACGGCAGAGCTCAGAAGGATTCTTCTACATTTCTTCTTCATCATCTATTTCTCTGTAATCTTATGCTTTTGAATATTGAATTATTTTTAGCCATGATTATGCTTGGCTAGTTTTCTTTTATTGTAGTTAGGGTCACGAGCCCTATGTGAACCCTTGTTACGATGGATTGATTTAGTTTTATTCATTTATATAATTATCTTTGTCTCTACCTTGTGCGTATTTCCTATTCTCTTTATTAGAACTGATCAATGTGATAGTTGGGAATAGTTTGAGGGTTAGAACCCTAGATAGGAATATTGGGGTTTTGATCTTGAAAGGGGTAGGACAACAATTGGTATGCATGCTAGGAATAGATGTGTATTTAATTGCGGATGCTTAAATTATTGCGTTCATTGCTTAATACAATGAGGAACATTGCAAGGAATTGGGGTTCCAATTGGGGATTAAAGGGTTAACCTTGCAAGGAATTGAGGGTTAACTAATAAATATTTTTAGATAATAATTTATCCGAGTAATTATATGAATAAATATTGTGAATCAATCCAAAGTAGGAAGTGGGGATCATAAGGTGAGTGCGCTCTAGCTACAATAGTTTTCTCATATTTTTAAAATCAATTCTCATTGTTACTATTTTATTTCTCTTAAAAAAAATATAAAAACAAGTCTTTATTTTTATTTCATATTGTTACTCAAATTCAATTCACAATTTTTCAAACAACAAAACCGAGTTTTCCAACTTAAGGGGACTGGTTATTGTAGTACTTGGTTTACAATCCCTGTGGAGACGATACTTTACTTACTCATTATATTACTTGTGTGATCGGTATACTTGCCGGAGAGCATCACATTGCTAACGTTTATGGAAGAAATGCGCAAGTATATGCAACCATACGTAATACAGGGCCTTTGTTTGAGTCCCAGTTATCGTTCCCACAAGGATCTTTGGCGTTTTTAACTTGACTAAACTTTGTAATTGTTGTAACTAAATTCAATCTAAAAAAGAAAATAATAATAAAAATAAAATAATCACAAGACTAATATGAAATAGCAATAACTAAGTTACTATTTTATTTTTAGAATTTTCTTAATTAATTTTGGATTCAATTGTTCTAAAAGATGGAAAGTAATAAGAAATCAATTTAAGAAGTGTTTTGTTTTTGTTTTTTATGTAAATAACCTTTAGAGAAAAATATAAACTAGAAGGTTGATCAAATGCTAAAACAGAGAAAAGAAAATGAGTTGGTGAAAATATTTAGAAAAATGGGTTGATTTTTCGATTCTCCTTCCCCTATAGTGCTTGAAAGAATGATTTGATTAACAAGTTGCTCATCCAAAAATTCCCAATTAACGAAAGTCACTTGTTAATTTTTAACCTCTTAACAATTATTTTATCCAAAATCAAGCACTTACATATCTCTATGCCAAATGGGATTAGGACTCTTGAGACTTAGGTCCAATGTTACATGGAGGACTCATCCATATTTGAAGTGAGATCCCTTGAATGATCTCTCATTCAAGTCCATGAGCTTAATGCAGAGTCCAGAATGAGTTGTTTCTCACTAACTAATTCCTAAATAAACCTCTAACATCGGGCCGGACTGCGGAAAATTTAAACATAGAAATAGCATTAAACAACTGAGATAAAACATAAAAATCCAGAAAACCAAACATTCATCCAAGCACTGAGGTTTGGGTATCACCTAAACTCAACCTCTAAAAGGACTAGCTCATACCCATATGAGTTGAGTTCAAAACAGAAAATGAAACAAAAGAAAAATAACAATTAAAAACTAAAATCAAACTAAGTAGAGGATAAATCATAAGATCAGCCCTACTACTGTAAAGAAGACGACTCCATTTGTGCACTAGCTCCTTTTATAACGCTCCATCCTCACATGCATCAGTTGCGTGAGCTCATCTTTCACCGTCCACGTGCCTCCTCTCACACAATGAGATCAATCAATGCATGTGAACCTTTTCACTCCACGCTCGCTTCGCACCATCATCCTGTAACTGCCTTAAATTCGCAAAATAAAAAGAGATTATTCCTTATGTGAGAGGATTGACTTGATTTTGTGGGTTAGGTGGACTGTTTGGGTAAAAAATGTTATAATAGATGGTCAAGAGACTCGATGGTTAACAAAATCAGAGGGGAATTGGTTGGGTGTGGCTTGTTTTCACTTGGACAAAAAATGAGTCGTATAGGTTGGCTATTTTTCTTTCTATTAGAAATTGGCTTTTTTTTTACGCTTTTCCACCAAGCTTCTTTCCTCAATTCATGTCTTCCCTTTAAGTGCAGTGCTGAGATAGACTGGACTTTTGTTCACTTGGACCTCAGAGCTTTTGTTGACTTCTCCTTTTTTAATATCTTTGCTTTTTTTATTACTACCCTTATGCATCTCAATCTTTTTGGGCTTTAAGAACTTGAAATAAAAATCCACATTAAATAAACAGCCAATGAAAATTTAAATTAAAACTGAGTAAAATTGAATTATAATTAGCGAGGAACAAAGTCTTTAAACAAAGACTTATAAAAAACTAACAGTTGTGCTTAAATATAATCTACGAGTGAAGGACTATGAGCAGTTATTGAACTTAAGATTAATCGATCAAACCATGACAGGTGGCAATTCCTATGTTTACATAATATATTCAACTTTAAATACATGCTTGTTTCAGAAAATAAATATCTATTATGTTGAAATATTCAGAGAAAAGGGCCGGCACCTGCATCACTTGTTTGTTTTATCACCATTCTGAACTTACAATTTGCATCTTCTTGTTGTCTCAGTTACTCATTTCTTAATTTGACAAAGGATATTACACGTTTGTCATGTTACTTATGTCTCATTAATCTTTTGAACCTGTCTTCAAAATCCTGAACCTGCTAAAAAATCTATTAAACAAAAAAAAAAAGAAAAACGAAGTGCAGGCCGATTGAACTAATCCTCTAAAATTGATTCTTATGAGTTGGATTACGTCAACCACAATCAATTGAAGTAATCGAGAGATCAATATTTTAAAGGGTTTTATGTTTATCATGTAACATGATATAACATTACTTTCCTACGCACACATTAAAGAGGTGGGGTCCACATGTTTTTCTTTCTCTTTCATCATTCCACTTTCTCTTTCCATTTTTGTGTGTGTTAGAAACAATACTTAAATCATGTAACATAACACTAATAAAACCCTATTTTAAAACTCGACTCATTCATCAATTCGATCGAGGTATTAGGTTATTGAATCAGTGGAAAAATTTTAATATGATTCAGAATCACCATGCTCCTTCCACTGAGAAATTGATACCTAGATCAAATTTTTTGTTTTCTCTCTCTTCTTTCGTCAACTTTTTTTTCTTTTTCTCTCACTTCCGTCCCACTAAAAATTTATGCCCAGGAAGCACATAAAAATCACTGGGGTCAATGATTTAATCGAATTTTAAAATAATATATAATAAATATTAAATTATGAATATTATATCCAACAAATATTAAAGAAATATTAAAGAGAGGACTCAAGTTCGTTGCACGGCATTTGATAAGTGGAGAGAGAAATTTAGAGCCTGTCTGGATCCTCTTATTTTTAAGCTAGAAACTACTTATAAGCTAAAGCTAAAAAAAAGAGCTTAAAAAAATAAGCTAAAAGCTGTTTGGAAATTACATAAATGTTTTAGCTTAAAAATTACATAAAAGCACATATTTCAAGAAAATTATTTTTCTCTCTATCTTTATCACTCTTCATTTAAAAAAAAGCACACAATTCAAGAAAAATAGATAAGAGCTTAAAAAAAAGCTCCTCCTAGGAGCTTTTAGTTTTCAGTTTTTATCTTCATTATAAAAATAAGAGCTTTTCGTTATAAGAGCTTTTCCCAAAACATGTTTGGTCTAGCTTATGCTTATAAGTAGCTTATAGCTTAAAAATAAGAGGATCCAAAGAGGCACTTATCCTATTTGATCCAATATAAGAGCACTACCCCACAGCCTTGTTGGCTTTCTCTGCATCCGCAAACGAGTCATCTATTGCCCAAGAATCGGCGGCCCATTCAAACTTAAGAGAATGGTAAAATAATATAAGTTCCCCCCAATTAAAGTTCAGCTCATTATTATTATTCTTTCCCTAAAGAAAAGAAAAAAGAAAAAAGAAAAAAGAAAAACTGAAGAGGTCATACAATACAATGGTTCTCCAAGAAGCATTTGGAGAGTGTGTAATCAGTCAGACCCACATTTGTTAATTTGATATACATGCCAACAACAAAGAACAGTTCAAAAGATGTTCATAATTATAAATTAAATCAGTTTAATTAATAAGCTTTTAACTCGACTTTGCATATAGTTGAGCAACTCTTTGGCAACTCCACCAACATCATTCTATGCTTCTCTCCTTCCTCTGCCTTGCAACCATGGCTGTCTTCAGCTTTTCTTCATCCTATAATCAAACCAAAAAGACCTTGTTTTTCATATTTACCATCTTCACTTTGTTCTTTGTACTCTCTAACACTGCAGAGGCAGTTTTCTTCAACTTCTCTAGTTTCCAGCCAAACTTGTATCAAATTAACTTTCAAGGTGATTCCTTTTTCTCAAATGGTGTTCTGCAGCTCACAAAGAACCAACTTGATGGCCCCATCACAAGCAGTGTTGGTCGAGCCTCATTTGATCAACCAGTTAAGATATGGGATAGAGGAACAAGAAAGCTCACAGATTTCACCACCCATTTCTCTTTTGTTATGAAAGCTGTTAATCCAAGTCAATTTGGTGATGGGTTATCATTCTTCATGGCTCCATTTCAATCTGATATTCCACACAATTCATCTGGTGGGTTCCTTGGTCTATTCAGCCAAGAATCTGCATTCAACACTAGCCAAAATCAAATAGTTGCAGTTGAGTTTGACAGTTTTAGGAATGATTGGGATCCAAGCTCTGATCATGTCGGAATAAATGTTAATTCCATACAATCGGTTGCGAATGTGAGTTGGGTGAGTAACATGAAGAACGGATCAACGGGTAATGCTTGGATATGGTATAACTCTACCACCAAAAATCTTTCTGTCTTCCTTACTTATGCTAATAATCCAATCTTTAATGGCAGTTCTAGTCTTTGGTATATCATTGATTTGAGGGATGTTTTGCCAGAAATGGTTAGAATTGGCTTTTCTGCTGCCACAGGTCAATGGATTGAAATACACAATATACAATCTTGGTCATTCAGTTCAAATTTGGACAACAGTAATGGGAAAAACATCAAGGTTGGTTTGGGAGTTGGTGTAAGTGTTGGTTTTGGTTCTTTAACTTGTGTTGTAGGTCTTCTATGGTTTACCTTTTGGAGAAAAAGAAAAGGACCAAATGGTGGAATAGAGGACAATACAGGTCTTGATGCTTCTATAGATGATGAATTTGAGAGAGGAACTGGTCCAAAGAGGTTCACCTACAAGGAACTAAGCCATGCAACCAACAACTTTGCAGAAGATGGAAAGCTTGGAGAAGGAGGATTTGGAGGTGTTTACAAAGGTTGTCTTGACAACCTCAACAACCTCGAAATCGCGGTGAAGAGGGTTTCAAAAGGATCAAAACAAGGAAAAAAGGAATACATATCAGAAGTAAGAACTATCAGCAGGCTGAGACATAGAAATTTGGTTCAACTCATAGGGTGGTGCCATGAACAAGGTGATCTCATTCTTGTTTATGAGTATATGCCTAATGGAAGCCTTGATTCCCATCTATTTGGAAACAGAATTATGCTTACATGGACAGTGAGGTACAAGGTAGCATTAGGTTTGGCATCTGCTCTTCTTTATCTTCATGAAGAGTGGGAACAATGTGTGGTGCATAGGGATATTAAGTCAAGTAATGTCATGTTGGATGCAAATTTCAATGCCAAGCTTGGTGACTTTGGTCTTGCAAGGCTAGTAGACCATGAACTTGGGTCTCAAACTACTGTTTTGGCAGGCACAATGGGGTACCTAGCCCCAGAGTGTGTCACCACAGGGAAATCAAGTAAAGAATCTGATGTTTACAGCTTTGGTGTAGTTGCCCTTGAAATCACATGTGGTAGAAGACCAGTTGAAGTAAAAGAAGAGCCTGGCAAAGTTAGGCTTGTAGAATGGGTTTGGAACCTCTATGGAAAAGGGAAATTAACTGAAGCAGCTGATGAAAGATTAAACTTGGAATTTGATGAGAAGCAAATGGAATGTTTGATGATAGTTGGGTTGTGGTGTTGTCATCCTGATCATACCATGAGACCCTCCATTAGGCAAGTGATTAATGTTCTAAGTTTTGAAGCTCCTCTCCCAAGTCTTCCATCAAAGTTGCCAGTGCCAATGTATTATGCACCTCCAATGGAGATGTGCAAATTCTCCTACACCTCATCTGGCCTCACAAGCACAACCAAAGGATCTTCTACATACTCATCAATGACAGCAGGGTCCAGAAAATCGCTATTATAGCAATGAAAATGATTTATTTTTCAGGATTAATATCTTGTATTTGATGTGTTTTGGCAAAACTTGTTTATTTATTGTGTGTTAGTGAATATCAAACGTTTAAATCATATATATCGTGCCCATATACTCTCTATGGTTGTTGAACTGCGCGGCTAGGAGTAGTTGGCGTTTCGTGCTTAGATACCTTAATTTATTTGCTAGCCCATCTAATGTAAAATTAGGGGTAACATAATAATCATTAATCCTCACTCAAATGATTAACTTTTTCGTTTACTCGGCAATTGCTATGACACCACTTTACAATAATCCAAATCCAAGTGGCCCAATACAACAATATTTTTGTCTGGTGAAAATACCAACACGAACCTCAAAAACACTAGCCCCAATTATCTAATTAAAGTTCTTTGTTTTTATCTTTTCATCTGCAACAAATCCAGTGTCAAACCTGGAATATCCCATAATTACTTTCCGAACATGAATTCATCCACAGAAATTGGCTTCAATTTATGGAAGAAATGTTTTTTTTTTCTTAAGCCACTAAGAATGTACTAGTGGTGAAAGACAGATTATAAATTCAAAACACAATGTCATTATTATATAAAAAAAAATTAATATTATAGTTGATAACAAGAGAAACATAGTTAGGAAATTTCATGTGCTGATATAGATTGAATTTGGTGCACATGCTAGAATAATAAGAACATAAAATTAGTTTATTTTGTCTAGCATAGAAGTTATTATATATATATATATATATATATATATATATATGGGAGAAAGATTCATTTACAAATTTTTTTTTACAAATTACACTAAGTATGACCGGTCATACACTCTTAATTGAAGTATGACCGGTCATACTTAGTGTAGTTTGTAAGAGTTTGTAAACAAAAATTTGAAAATATAACATTCCCCATATATATATATATGTGTGTGTGTGTATGTGTGTGTGTGTGTGTGTGTGATATATTTATCTTATGTTGTAGAAAAATGATTATCTCATGTTATAGAAATAAAATTACAAGTGGGACCCATATGTAAGAGGAGAGAGAAAAAATAGATGTGGGAACCACCTCCACTTTATGTATCTATGAAGCTTGTTTAACTTATAAAATATAAGTTAAATATAACCTTATATATATATATATATATATATATATATATAGGGTTCCTCGTTTCTGTTGTCACTGCTGATGGAAAAACTTGCAGCAAATATATTACAGTAGGATACGAAGCCGGATCCTGAAATTAACAAAAAAGAATAAAAAAAATAGGATACGGAACCGGATCCTGGTGAAAGTAAGTGTTTCTGTAAATTTTTTGATCTGCAGCGACTGAAGAGCTATTAATGCCATATATATAGGGAAAAAGACTTCTCATGTTGCATGAGAAGTCTCCTCTCCTACCACTCTCACTTCGATGATAGTGCCAATCACTTTTTTATTTTTTATTTTTTCTTTAAGGAGGGTCTCACCCCTTTCTCTCTCTATAGGAAAAATTGAATTTCTCATGCAACATGAGAAATTGCAAGCCCATATATATATATATATATATATATATATATATATATATATATATATATATATATATATATATATATATAGGGTTCGCTTTTTGTCATGTGACATGACTAGAGCACTTTCCTGCACACACAAATCAAGTGTGGATCCTACGCTTAAAAAAAAAAAAGTCAGACCAAAATCAGGATACGACGTCGTATCCTTAAGATACGGACGCGGATCCTTGTTGCAGGAATGAACAGTGTCATTCCTGCAACATGATTCTTATATTTCCCATATATATATATATATATATATATATATAGTTTATTGTTTGTCATGTCACATGACATAAAGTTATGTCATGTCACCCAAAAAATATATTGTTTTGGGAGTTAAGAGAATTAATTAAGGGTATTTTTATATTTTTATTTGTTTATTTATTATCTAAATTTTACCAAAACATTGTTCATTAATTAGCTTAACTCCTTTCAACCAAAAAAATAAAAATAAAAATAGCTTAACTCCCAAAATGACATAATTTTGAGGTGATATGATATAATTTTATGTCATGTAACATGACAAAAGATAAACCCATATGTATATATCTGTGCATGTGTGTGTATTAATTTAAAAATATAAAATCAACTGTCAACTTTTCTTATTTTAGTACATGAAAAATTAAGCTATACTTAGTCTACTCGAACTTTTTTATTATTCGAGGTATTTTTAGATAGGGCTTTCTGAAATTGCATGTCCAAATAATAAATCATTAATAATAATTGTGAAAATTAAATACTTTGAATGTGGATAACAATAAGATGTGTTGACGGGCAGCAAGGCAGCCCATTCAAGGCCTACAGTCCCAAACCAGGTTGCCATTTTTGTTATTTGCAAGTCTTTGGCCCGAAAGAAAGAAAAACCGGTTTCATTGAATTTAAATTAAATTTATGCGACCTGGTTACAAAGAAAAAAAACAGAGACAAAATTTAGTTTAATTTAAACAAACTTTATTTCATTTGAACTCTTATGTTGTTCTATTCTTATAAAATGTGATTGCTTTATTGTTTTTATATTTTCTTAATAAAACTATGATTAGATATTGGACTGTATTGGTGGATATATGCCAATTCTCTCCTATCCAGCATCACCTTAGTTGACAGAATATCCAATAAAGAATGAATTGAATCTTCCAGACTAACCTCTCCAAAAACATTAGCTGAAAGCCAACAACTTAATCTGCCAACAAACTCTTCAAAGTATCTCTCCATCCCACCGAGTGAAAGACTTGACAATATATCCACAAATGTATCAGTAAGATATGATTTGATGATAATAAGAAAACAACAATAAAAATACATTCAAAAGAAAAATATATCAACTATATGTACAAAAGATTGAAAATATACGATGGAGCCAAAAAAAATAATAATAATAATAATAATGCAATAACAAAGTGATAATAAAATGGATGAGTTTTGAAGACAGAAATCAAACAAAAGCAATGTACCAAAAAGCAAATGAAAAAATAAAACCTCAAGCAATAATAAAGAAGAATTCAAGAAGCAAATCCAACAAGCATCAAAAGTATTGCAAACAAAACAAGACAAGATTCAACTGTAAAGGTACATCTTGAATTATATTGCATGAGGTCAGACTGTTTTTCAAATGACATATTTTCAAAATGTTGGAAATCCTTGAATTAATCTCTCAAAAAAAAATTAAAAGTGGTTTAACATCTTTTGAACTTATAAGTATCTTTTCAATGGTCAATTACATATGTCTATAATGTTAGAAATATTTTTAAATTAAAGGAATGCATTTTTGAAATATGCTTGCTATCAGGATACACATATCATGATATCTATATACACATATCCTTATATGATCACAATAATATCCTTGATATATGGGGTCAAATATTTGGATATACACTTTCCAAAAGTGTTTCAAAAGCTATAAAAAATTATATTTGGTTGAGAACTTATAAAATATCATCTCTAATGGATATAAGCTATCATGGACATTGTTGAATCATTCATTGAACCGTTCTTGAGAGATTTTATTGTTTCTACACTTGCATAGCTCATATTTGATCCTTTGAGCTAATATTTTTCATATATCGTATATCTATAGTGCTTCAGTTTGTATTATCCACATTTTAAGAGTACATACCTTGTCTTAAGCATATTCTAATTAAATTCCTGGAGTAAGGGTAGTGAAACCTAAGAAAGTGAAAGGTATCCAAATACTTATAAAGTTTAAAGCTTGTAAAAGGTCACGACCCATAAAGTTAGGAGATTCTAGTTGTTCATTCAAGCATGCATTAAAGTTTGACAAATAGTGAAAGAAACAATGAGTGATTTGCTTAAGGATTAATTAAGTCACAAGTGGTGGTGGCCGATAGTGACACTTGACATTGAGCAAACAATGATATAAATATTAATCATGGCCGCATGGACCAAGTTAACATGCTCAGTAGTAATCATGGATTTAGTAACTTACATATCAGTGTAAGGAAAAGTGTAGTTTGCGGCGGTTGAATTGTCATTTTGCGCCGATTCAATCTGTCGCTAAAATCATATTGTGACAGTTAAGCAATCATCACGATAATAAGCGTCAGGAAGGAATCCACGACAGTTGAAACAAACCGTTGGAATAACTGCCGAGTTGAATATAACGACTGTTATAACAGGTTTAACCGTCACATAATGATGACTGAGTTTGATGTAGATTCTTTTCGCGGTGGATTGATATCGCCGCTAAATTTGTAACAACAACGGTATAAAACTGCAACAATAAGGTAATATAGTGATGTATTAAGGCTTTTCATGGCGGTTTGTAACCGCCACTCATTCTAAATAAATTTTATTATTTTCAATATTATTTCAACATTTCTAATAATTTAAAAAAATTTAATACATTTTTTGTATATTAAATATTTCAAAAATTCAAAAAATTTAATTTAAATAATATTAATTTATTATTATTTTATTAACTTTATTTTATGCAAATTTGAATATCGATATATATATATATATATATATATATAATATATATATAATATTACTGTCATACATAGTTTATTCAAATTTATCTTAAATCTTATCGCTAGCAATCAAACCACAATTTATGTCATCCAAATATAATTAAAATTGTTAACAAAGAAGATTCATAAAAATGTCATAAAATATAAAATGTCATTCATCATAAAAAGAGATTGTTGAAACAAAATATAAATGATGGAAATGTTCAAAAACATCAAACAAAATGTTTTGTACTATCATCTAAACAAAAATATAGATTATAAGAAAAGTCCAACAAAATATCATCCCAAAGTATTGTAACCTAAACAAAAAGTAAAGATAAAAAAAAGTTGTTGCGATTACGGCAAGTATACCGATCGTTTCAAGTAATAAAGTAGTGAGAAAAGTATCCTCCCACGAGGATTAAAACCCCAAGTATTATCCTAACTATTCCCTTTAATTTGGACAATCCAATTTGGTTTAGCAAATAGATTTTGAATTAAAAGAAAAATAATTGAAATTAATTGCAATGAAAATCAAGAACATTCAAGAATAATCAAGAACATTCAAGAATAATCAAGAACGCAGAAAAAAAAATACGAATAAAGATTGTAATACGGAACTATAGCCAGGATACCCTTCACCTTTGATCTTCCTTTAGAAATCTGAACTAATTCTTATAATTAATTAACTCATTAGTTCAGACAAGTCATCTTTCTCAAATCAATTATTTAAACCCTAATGTCTTAGTGTATTTAACCATTTAACCCAATTAGAATCCTAGTGTCCTAGTAATCTCTCTTGAATCAAGCATTAAATGGATGAATTAAAAAGTCTGCAATTCATACAAGCCTATGTATGTCTAGATCATGCACAAATTATTATTTTACCCCAGTCAAAAGTTTGATAGGAAACTAGTTAAAGTTTTAAATTTCATCAAATTATGTCTAATTTTACTATTTCACAGGTTAGGGTTACATATTTGTCAAATTATCATTTTACCCTTCGTGTGTATTTGGACATAAAACTCGGGATTTTCACTAAATACACTCTCATCCACAATTTAATTATTAAAATATATTTCAAATATGTGAGGTGTTATAACCACTCCATGATTATGTAATTGTATTGCATTCACTTTAATGAATGACATAGAACTATTTGGCCGTAATTGGCATGCTCTCAATATTGCTACTATGGGAGCATATTTGAGGCATAAAAAGCATAAAATATTTTCTCTAACTTGTCTTCATCTATACTTTTAATTTAAAAAATGTTCAAAAAGTGCAGGATGTAATGAATCTTTTGCCACTAAATTTTTGGCTTTACGATCGTCATAGAAATGACGACGAAGAAATATTATTCCACTATCATGCTCATGATGGGTGAGCTTATTTCATTCCTTGATTGTTTCAAGATACAATAATACAAGCTCTTCGGAAGCTTTCAATCAAGTTAGTAGCTTATCGATAGGTTGTGAAAGTACAACATGCGGCTTAATCCAAGAAAGTGCGCCTTCGGCGTTCCCGCAGGTAAGTTTCTTGGCGTCATGCTGACAGAGAGAGGCTTAGAGGTCAACCCCGACAAGTGCAAAGTTGTTATAGAAATGCGAAGCCCCCAAACAGTCAAAGAGGTGCAGCAGCTGACCGGGAGGCTAGTGGCCCTCACCCGTTTCTTGGTGAATTCTGCACATAAGTCACTCCCATTGTTTGACTTACTCAAAAAAGGTACATCCTTTCAATGGTCTGATCAATGTGAGAAAGCTTTTCAGGCCCTATCCTGCCCGCCAGTCCTCACCAAGCCAGACAGTGGTGAAACTCTGTACTTATACCTCACCGTGGGTGCTGAGGCCATCAGCGCAACTTTGGTCAGAGAACCAAAAGAAGGGCATCAACCAATTTATTTCGTCAGCAAAGTATTGCAAGGGGCGAAACTGCGGTATCAGCAAGTTGAAAAGGTCGCCCTCACACTCATCTTCGCCGCACGAAGGCATAGTTCGTATTTCCAATGCCACCCTATTACAGTCAGAACCAATCAGCCTATTCGCTTAGTCCTGCACAAACCTGATCTCGACGGAAGAATGATGTCCCAGGCGATTGAACTGTCAGAGTACCAGATCAGTTACGAACCCAGAACCGCCATTAAAGTTCAAGCTCTCACATATTTCATAGCCGAAATGTCGCACACCTGCGAAGCAGCTAGCCAAGCAACAGAAACCCCACGGTTGGCGCTGTGGAAGCTATATGTTGATGGCTCTACCAATGCCAAAGGATCCGGCGCCAGAATGATAATTGAAAATCCAGACAGTGTAGCGATGGAGCATTCATTATCTTTTAACTTTAATACCACTAACAACCAAGCTGAGTACGAGACAATGATTGTCGGCCTGCTCCAGGCCAAAGAGCTAGGAGCGCAACATCTCAAGGTTTTCAGTGATTCTCAGTTGGTACATTTTAAATTTCGGGTGAATATCAAGCTAAAGGGCCGCTGATGTGCAAGTACTTAGAGAAAGTCAAAGAGATAATTTGACCTTCAAGTCAGTTGAAATTGAGCAGATTAGGCGATCAGAAAACACACGTGCGGACATTCTCGCCAAGCTAGCAAGCACCAAGAGTCCAGGTAATAATCGTTCTGTCATCCAGCGTAACCTGCATAATCCATCCATCGTCATGAGTATTGCAGACGTCACCGAAGGAGTCGCCGAAGATACCTGGATCACTCCCATCTCTAACTACCTATCAGAAGGTACCCTCCCAGTGGACCAGACAGAAGCCAAGAGGATAAAGCGGAAATGCGCCCACTTTTGCATGATGCAGGGACGCTTATACAAAAGGGGCTTCTCAACCCCACTGTTGAAATTCCTAAACCCCGGCGATGTTGGGTACATTTTGGAAGAAATCCATGAAGAAATCAATGGCCACCACATGGGAGGCCACTTTCTGGCAAAGAAAGCTCTCCGAGCAGGTTTTTATTGGCCGACCATGGAGCATGACGCCCATGAGCACGTTAAAGCGTGTGATAAGTGCCAAAGATTTGCAGACATACACAAAGCCCCACCAGAAGAACTTACTGTGATAACATCCCCTTGGCCTTTTTTCAAATGAGGGATGGACCTTCTGGGCCCTTTCCCTGAGGCAGCAGGCCGAGTTCAGTGGCTGATCGTCGCCATTGACTACTTCACCAAATGGGTTGAAGCAGAGCCAGTTGCTACCATTACCTCTCAAAGGGTGAGGAAGTTCTTTTGGAGAAATATTGTTTACCGTTTCGGAATCCCAGGAGAAGTTATAACGGACAATGGTACTCAGTTCACAGACGCCAAGTTCTAGGAGCTAATGAAGGACCTGCACATTCGACACCATTTCGCTGCAGTGGAACACCCATGATAAACCTTTGGTTTACCATGTTTTTAGACTAAATTATATGAGAAATACATCATAGATTGCATGGAATTCAAGGTTTTACGACATTTAAGTTATAAGATAGGAAATTGAGCTGACATTTTGATAATATTTGCATTTTTAAGGTAAAACCACAAGAATTGGTGCTAAAAGTGCTAAAGAAATCATGACAGAGAAGTATCGGCTCAATATGGATCCATCGAAACCAAAATATTACAATTCAAGGTCCAGAATAGCACGCTCAAGCGCACACATGGACGCTCGAGCGCATCATGGCAGGGAAAACAGCCAAACTAGGAAAATCAGGGCGCTCAAGCGCCTAACAGCACGCTCAAGCGCCCAAGAAGACATAATTTCATCTTGAGGAGAACGCTCGAGCGCCCATTAGCACGCTCGAGCGCCCAAATCCTGACAGCAAAGATTGACAAGATTTAATGAAGATTTGCTGAGATTTTCCAATGGATATAAGATTTTGATATCCGGAATTAAAGCGGAAACAAATCAAGCTGATTCCTGAGAAGATTGAAGGAAGATTATAACAAGATTCAAAGCTCAAATCCCTCAACCAATCCACAAGATATTAATTGCAAAAAGAAAACAATTGGAGAATCAATTACAAATCTAATATGGATACGGCAAGAGATGCAATGAAGGATACAACCTCCAATAGCTATAAATAAAGAGCTTGGGGTCAGAACCAAAACACCAATTCATACCCATTCATCCCCATTCATACTCCAAGGAGGAATCCTGTTGCAGAGCGCTGGAACACTGAGGAACCAAGTCAACATCACACCAATGGAGGCTTGGGGTTCTCTTTTCTTTATTATTTCTTTTCAATTTAGTATGCTAGAGTAGTCTTTTATGTAGTTAAGGGTAGATGGAACCCAATTGAATCTTTATGTTTATGAATTAAAATTGTCTTCGAATCCTGTTCTTATTATAATTGAATAAATTATCCGTTTTTAATGCTTTCTATGAGTTTGTTCCTGATAGAATGATTTTGGGGAATTGTATGACAATAGGGATGTTGGTGCATGAACCTTGACTTGATAATTTATCATAATCCTTGTGATCTATGAATAGGAATAGGCACAGGGTAATTATGCAACCTTGTAATTCTTGATCTTAATGCATGTTTTCTTGGGGGAATAATCGGGGAACTAGAGTTCTTTCAAGATTACATAGATTTATGGTAACAAGGAATTGAGCCGTAATTAACTTAGAAAGTATTGATTGGAAATATATTAAGAAACGGATTCTTGGTTATTTAATTCATAACATATTGAGGATATTGGGGGAAGTCGAAACCTTAACTACGCTTGTTTTAAATTTCAATCAAAAATCATCATCATTCATTCTTTTAATTCTGAATTTTCATAATTGAATACTTTTACTTGTTTTTAATTTTAAGTTCTTTGAACCACAATTCGCTTCATCTAAATTCTCTTAAACAAAACCTTTGATTGTCCAACTAAAACGCAATTAGCGAACTAGTGCTTGAAATTCTGATCCTCGTTTGAACGATCTCGTACTCCGGTACTCTTTATTACTTTCACGATAGGTGCACTTGCCGAGTCGCTATCAAGTTACCCATAATCCAACGGGCTAGTAGAATCAGCTAACAAAATGCTAGCTATAACACCTCACAATTTTAAATCAAGTAATTAAAACATTAAGTGAGCAATCAAGTGATGGATTAGTGAAAATCCTAAAGATTAGGCCAAAATACAAAGAAAGGGCAAAACGGCAATTAGCCAACATGCAACCCTAGGAAGATAAAAATTGAGTAGAAGGTCTCAGATGGTAAAAATAACCCTGGAAATGGGTTCAGAACGAAAAATTGAGTGGATAGGAAAGTTTCAGAAAAATCAGTGAATAGTGTTTTTCGCGGGTAAAAATACCGCGTTACGATTGCACCGTAAAACGTGCCAGTTGAATTTTGAGCTCTAGGTTTCAAATATGAGTTATAAATGGTCTATAGAACTAGGAAATATGATTTCTGATAATATTTGAGGGAATTAAGACAGTTTGGGGAAGCGTGCCAACGGCGCGCGCGATAGCTTAAAAACAGTGTTTTCTCCGAACGAATGGAGGACTCTGAATTCATCTGATCAAGCCTGGCCCTCTTCTTCAACTCACCGGCGGGAATATCTGCAGCTGACCGGATTTTCTTCTTGGCTTGGTGGACTTCTTTCTTCTTTCCTTTGTCCATATTTTTCCTCTTCGAGGCGGGGTTTGGGTTAACCTGAGGAACCACGCCTTTAGTGGCTTTAAGCTTGGCAGCCGCTTGACGTTCAAGTTTTAGCGTCACCATCGGCAAGTTTTCAACTGCAAGACAGGAAAAACAAGTGTTAGTAAACACAATTAATACTCACCACAGTCACAAATGGTACAAAATGCCACCACACCTCCGTAACACAACACTCTCTTCGAAGGCCATCGGTCAAGGCCCCCTTTTACCTCCACAAACCAATCCACCACCATTGCCACTTCAGGAGACAAGGCTCCCCACCCAAACGAATACTGTCTGGTGGGCGTCTCATAATGGGCTTTAGTCCAGTATAGCGGAAACCGACTATCCCCACTCGCTCGATCAATGAAAAAAGGTAATTCCCCCTCGCCAAGCACTGGTTGAATCCAAAAAAAAGTATGCCTCCAGTTCTTATATGAGTTGGCGTACTGGGAAAATATCGATCCCAATCCGGTGCCCGCCTTTAATGAAACCCAGCCAAGCTTCTTCAACGACGGCGACACCTGGAAGTAGTAAAAGAACAACCGCACAGAGTACACCCATCCAAAATATTGGCATATCTTCTCAAATACACAAACAAACGCCCAAGCATTTGGGTGCAATTGGGAAGGAGCAATCTGTAGGTGGGCTAACACTCCCATCTCGAACTCAGATAAAGGGAACCTCACTTTTTGATTCGTGAAGAGAGTCTTGTACACCACGAACCGCCATCGAGACCTCGCCACACTGTGAGGAGTGTCACAAACACGATGATCATGCTGAACCGTGATGGTTTGCCACTTCGCCTCGTGTTCACCGTTTGGGGTAATATCAAAACTAGCTTCCGTTTGGTAATCGCGGTTCAAAATATCCCCGTTAACATAACTCGATGATGAGGAAGCCACCATCGGGTCTACCCAACTCCTCGCCAAAAAGCGATCATCTTTCTGAGCAGCCGCCATTAGTCGAGAGAGTGTCTTCAAATTCTACCTGGGAGCGACAAACACACAATCAATCGCCAAACACTCAACCGACGCCAAGAAGATCAACAATGGGGGACAACTTCAAACCTCCATAACACTCAACTCCCACTCCTGTGACCACCAACACCCCCCCCTTACAGACAACTAAATCAAAAATAGCTCAAGCACAAACAACTTACCGTAAGAATCAGAGGTTTCGGAAGAGCTCGAAGAGTAAAAATCTGAATAGCTTAGAGAAGAAGGCCATCACGCAGGCGGTATCTTATAAATCCCCAGGTCTTCATATATGGCGTCCCATATGCCATACTTCACAAGTCGTCCATCCTCTGGGTGGTATCTACCTAGTCGGTTGTCTGTAGATTCGTCATATTTACGACGATGGAAGGACTGGGAAATGTTGGGAATATTGCCACGCGATGTACTCAAGGCGACAGAAGAGTCAACAGTCAGATGGGTTTTCCCTAAAGAGCGAGGCTTATAATAATACTCTATGGGATGATTTTGCGGAAGTTGGTTAACAAAAGACAAAGGTCGAACAAGTCGCCCTACTCCAAGAACAGAGCGCCGCGAAACATGGCGATGCAAACCTCTCCTCTGATCGCAAGAACGATTAGAAGACCTTGAATGACTACTTCGTGAAGGGCGAGGCCTAACCCCTTCACTAGAACCACCTGACCATCGCCTTCCGGAACTATCAGACTGACGCCTACCAGATCCAGAAGCGGTCCCACCACACGACGCCTGGCGCTCACTACGAATACGAGAGCCAGACGCCTCACCCAAATATGCAAGCACAGGTCCTAAAGCCCTTTCCAGCAGGAGATTTTGAATCTCCTCTTCAGTAAAACCAAGAAGCTTGGGAATCCTACCATGGGGCAACGACTGAACCCCGGGAACTAAAGAACGATATGAAGGAAAGCTACTGCCTTCCCCACCACGCTTAGCAAGATATTCCTGCATAGCAGGCCTACTGTACAGCCTTCGAGCGTGTCGAAGGCTTTATCAAATTCCTCCTCCTTAACTTCAACCTCTATCTCCGGCAAGAACAACCCAGGCACATTCATTATCTTAACCATCACCAGAAAAAGGAGAAGAGAAGAAAAGCTAAAAGAAGTACAAAGTAATATCATAACTACAAGCCAAAAACACTGTACCTGAGATAATGCAGACATGGAAGAAATGAGGACCGGCACGAGCACTATCGTAAAGAAGGAAAAACACGAATGAAGAACGCTGGAACACGAAGAGCTTGAGGTAATGAGAAGAGGGTCCTCAGGAGGGGGCAAACTTTCTTTAAAAAGGATCAAGGAGATCAAGGTGACGTACACGTGTAGGACCTCACCATTTCGGCCGTAGGATGGCATAACTGTCAGACAATAGGCGGTTGTGATGAGGGATTTGATGGTAATTACGGGGGGACAAGACACCCTTCACGTCGCATTAATGCGCCGTGCCTCGTGACGATTGAGTTCTGCAGTTATTTGCAATAATGGAAGAAACCATCATTACAACCCCTCGAAAACTGAAAAGGACGAAATACCCAAAATACCACCTACAAGACTACGCGACCCACCAAAGACACAAATAGGATGGAACCCCGTCTCAAAGAGGTGGGAAGCCCCAAACACTAAGTCACTAAGATATTGGGTGCTACTCCTACACCACTCAGGTAACGCCCAAACACTTTACCTTGGCATCATCCACTCAAGTGA